ATTTCAAAAAAAAATAAAAGTTACAAGTTATTATAGTTTTCTCTCTCTCTCTTTCTCTCTTTCTTTCTCTCCCCTTCTCTCTCTCTCTCTCTCTCTTTCTTTCTATTTCAAATTATTACACATTCCACATTGTTTCAAGTAGGATTCGTTTCACTACAAAAACCAAAGGATAAAATAACAAAAAGTTTTGGAATAAAACATAACAAAATAACTGAAAGTTTAAATTTTTTTTTATTTTTTGAGGGGGGAAGGGGGGAGGGGGTTTAGTTTAAGATTATTTTTCCTTTTGTTTTCTTTTTAATTGTTTCCATATTTATTTTAACAGTCATTATTTTAAGGGAAAAACGATTAAATCTATGGATGAAATTTTATTGTGTTTAGTCTATTTAATAATAAACTATTTCAAATTTGAATTTAGCACCTGGAGTTTTTATAATAATAATAATAATAATAGTTTTCTAATGAACTAATCATTTGCCAATCTTATTAAACTTATTTATTAGTAACATTATTATTATTATTATTTTGAAAGTCACGACTCATAAATCATATTCTACTCCATGTTCCAGAAATAAATGTTTTATTTTTTTTTATAATACATAACTTTGTTAAAAATGTGGGCTGTTCTAAACAATGTCTTGTAATTTAATCATATTTAATCATTGTTATTTTTTTTTTTTTTTTTGCTTTTCACGGGCTTGGTATTATCATTATTATCCCGGTAATATTATTATTTCGTATTATTAATTAAAAAATAAATAAGTCTTGGAAAATGATAAATTATTATTTATTTATTTTTTTAAATTCATTTCATTTTTTTTTTTTTTTGGTACACAGTAACGAATTCAACACAAATTTTTTTTCTACCTACAGGTTTTTTTTTTTTATCAAAAGAAAATCTCCAGAGTGCCTTTGAAACACGAAACATTATTTGTATAAAAAAAAATTTGCGTGGCAGTAGTAATGAAAGTTAAAATATGTTTTCCCCTTAAAGAATTTATTTTTTACAATGTTAATCATTCAAACGAACGATTAATTTTTCTTTTTTTCTTTTTCTTATATATACAAACACGAAAGAAAAACAATTTTTTTGTTTTGTTTGTTCGTTTGTTTGTTTAAAATGTAATAAATGAATTAATGAAATCATGTTTCGGATAAATCATTACAAAAATATCATTTAAAAATTGGACCACCTACACTACAAAACGATACATAACTCACTACCGTTAAGATATTTACATAAACTATGTAATTTGAACCACAACAATTGAAACAAACAACAACAACAACAACTCAAGTCGAAGAAAAAATATACCTTTTATTATTAAATAAATTTTAAGGTACGAATTCGAAAACATGATACATAACATGCGAATGACAAACGAAATGTTTACCCATCATCGATTCCCAATATAATTTGTGACGTGTATAAAAATAACTTATTACGCCACTGAATTTAAAAAGAAAAATAACATTTAAGAAACATTATCAACAAACAAATGTGAAATTTAACTCATGTGAATAATGATGATGATGATGATGATGATGATGATATAAAAATACTTATGCGAGTAAATGCCGAGGTTGGTTTTATATTTTAGTGACACGTCAAAACAAAAAAAAAAATGCATTCATAAAAAAACAAAAACAAAATCGACCGTGTGA